ATAGAAGCTGAAAACCAAGACCACGGCCTACCCCCATTTTGCTCTTCTCTAGTGTTAGGTTCCCTCCTGCACTGCAGTTTGTGAGCCATGCCTACAATTCCCATGGTATCTTAGCACAGGATATCGAATTCTCCCCCCAACCGCCTTCCCAAGGTACGAGTCACTCCTATTGACTTCACCTTGGAGACGCTGTCTCCCTGCAGGGAGAATCAGGCCCCAATGGATTCCAGGAGACGGTTTTATAGAGGTTTCAGGCCCCACAACAACGTTTTGGGCTTTGCCCTGTGGTTTGGGTTCAGCGTGTGGCTGGGAAGCTGACTGGGGGGGGCAGGAAGTGGACGCGGGGGGTGATAGGCAGGCAGCAGGAACTGGAGGTTAAACAGAAGTGCACAACAGAAGTAACGTGTTGCTGGCCCCTCTCCCTTTTCCATCCCCTCCAGCCGTGTGCTACTAATACTAACTGACCCTGTCCCGTGTCCCCGGGTCGTGCTCCCAGTCCCCCTGGGGCAGATGATGGAGTTCTGATTTCTCAGAATGCCTGCAAGGAGATCACAGACCCCACGCTGGGCAACACAGGGGGAATGAGCTCATGTGGGCCAACCCAGCACTGCCCTGAGAGGTGCCGGACTTGGAGTGGGGGTTAAAGGAGAAGACAGCACAGCTGGAGCAGACTGCAGAGGACAGAGGCTTCCGGCCCCAGCTCCTGGGAAAGGGCTGGCTGAAGGCAAGAGCTTCGTGGATGCCCAATGCCTCCCTGAGCTGAACCAGTCCTGGGTGACTATTATTTGCTGCTAGGGTGCTCAGGAAGCGGTGGCTCCACCTTGCCAATGGAAGAGCTGCTTTGGGGTCGTTGACCACCCCTTTCAGAACCGCTCATCAGTGGCTTGGCCAGGGGGGCTCTTATGACCACAGCAGTGGGGCAGAGCACGTGGATGTGGCCGACCAAAGGCCTTGCCCTGGCCCCTCGGGGCATCCTGGGAGAGGAACGTGGTAACAGTGCCGCTGTGCTTCCTGCTTTCCCCTCGACCGGTGCACCCGGCCATTTCCCCTCCCCATCCCGCGGGGGCCATGCACACGGCTGTGCCCTCTCTGGGATGGCAGGCTGGTCTCCCCTGTGCTGGGGCCCTCCTGGGGTGGAAGAGTGACATGGGGGGCCAGGCTGGCTCTGATGGGAGGAGCAGTGCACCAGGGAGGGACTCTGCCCTGCTGCCTGGCTGAGAGCAGGGGCCTGGCAGAGGGGCACAGGATGGGTTTATAGAAAATGCAAAAAACGAAGGGAGACAAGTTCTCTCTAATGGATTTTATTGTCAGTTTCTAAATGACCCAAAGGGCTGGTCCCTGCTCGATGCCCCAGAGGAAGGCGAAAAACCCCCAGGGTCTCTGGCCAATCTGCCCTGGAGGAAAATTCCTTCCTGACCCCCAACATGGCGATCAGATTCACCCTGTGCATGCGAGCCAGGACCACAGTGGGGAAAGGTCCCACTGGGCACTGTGGTTACATACTCTGTCCCACGCCCCTCCAGGGGATTGTCTGTGTCCCAGTACTAACCAGTGGCCTGTTCTTTCTTCTTTGCTTCCATCCCGGTAGATAGGACCAGCTGCTCCCCTTAGCCCAAGAGGTGACCCCAGGCAACTTTTGAACATTATTTCTTGAATACTTACCACACTGGCTGTGTTTCCTTCATCTGAAAATCTAACCAAATTCACTAATGTCACTCAGAAGTGACAAGCAGGTTCATCACCTCCTGATAAAGATGAATCCCCTGAGGTGTGCCATGCCCCTGAGCTCCTCTTCGATCCCGAGATGTGTGATCGGCTGTAACAAACCCTTTGACGCAATGGAAGTTAGCAATTTTGTAGAGTTGATTGTATGCTCATTTGGTAGACTTACCAAATACTTCTTACCTCTCCTCAGAGCCAATTCTGTTGCTTTATTGAATGAAGGGTCTTTTTCATGGTTTCATATCTTATGAGATCCAATTGTCCTTTCAGGTGCTGGATTTGTTCAGCTCCATTCCTATTCCTTTGTGCTCAAATCCTGAGTATCTGAAACTCTTCTCCTGAAAAGACAAATCAGCTTCACAAACTAGTTCCTGCAAAGCACAGCTGTGGCTGTAGAGATCAGCATTTGACAGGTAACTTGTTTGCTTATTATCAGTTTTACAGGCCCATAAATGTACTCGATGCATCATGATCTGCTCCATTTAGCAATAAGAGAATCCTAAGCGCTCACCTCTGTCAATGATGGTCTCCTGCATTGTGGGTTTGAAACTTGATGGTGATGAGGGATTGTCTTCCCATTCTAGTCAAGGAAGGCAACTTTTTTCGCTCTCTGCAGGTCTGGGAACAGGTGTTCCTGTATTCTTATGTAATGTGACTGCTTATAGTCCTCAACCCCTGGGAGATCAGATCAGCTGCATTTCTTTCACCTGAAGGGAAACCAGATCCATTAATTTCTCCATTATGAGGTGAGTTCCTTACCTCTTGGCAGCAGTGATGAGTTTCATTGGTTTCCTTCCTGCAGATATCGCAGATCTTCTCGCAACTTCCTGAAGTTTTCACACCCTCAAAGTTCAAATCAGCTGCATTTCTCTCATCTGAAAGTATAACATTATCTATTCATTTCCACTTGCATGTTAAAGAAATGTGTTTTTTTCCTTCCCAACTGACATGGCTGGTTCAGCTAGTTGCATTTGCATGAATCCCTAAAAGAGCACAACAGCCCTCTCGTCTTCTTCCCTCTGGAGATGTGCGATGCGTGACTTATTTATTTGGTCTGTAAGTAATGCTTTAGCATGAGATTCATTTGACAACCAGGGAAACTTAAATGCTTACCTCCATGTCTGTGTTCTGCTGACTTGAAGTGACTGTTTGTTTTCTGTTTGTTTTTCCTTGAAATAACAGCGTCTTCTCTTTGGATTCCTCCATGGATTGAGCAGCTGGCAAGTCCATGTTGCTTTGTCTTGCCTCTGCTTTTCACACTCTCCCCATGACAAATAAGGTCCACCACAGTTCTTCTCCCTGAAAGAAAACTCCACACCACTTGATATACACATGTATGTTTGGAGACTGGTATTGCTTACCTCCTTCCCCGGGACAGCCACTTACCCTCACTTCTCCCTGGTAGGAATGGCCACCTGGTCTGTTCACATCTCCAGTTAGCAAAACCTAACAATTATTTATTATTACTCATTACCAGTTATGAAGAGTCATCAATAGAAACGGTTCCATAGCATCCAGATCATTAGGCTTCTACAGACTTTCCAGTGCTCACCTATTTGTCAGTGATGTTCCACGACAAGGCTTTGATTCTTCAAGGTACAGCCAGCTACACTGGTTACAACTTGAAGCATATAATTGGCTGCTTTCCTCTTTCTGAGCTAGAAGTAAAAGATGCTTTTCTTCCCCCTGGCCAGATATCGTTACCTGTCTGACTATTATTAAATTCAGCAGCCTCTTTTCTTCCCCCGCCCCCTTAATGGTCAGACCTTCATTCCACCTGAAAATAGAAATAGAGCCAGTTATTCCTGCCCCTGTGCTGAGAGGAGGTGCGTTCCTGACCTCTTGATAGAAATGACCAGTTCCACTGATTTCTTCTTGACATTTGATAAATAAGCAACAATGATCAATTCTGCACAAAGAGAATCAGCTGGACAACTCATCTCTGCAAATATAAGAGCAGGTTAAATGCTCATCTTCACACTCTGGTTAGTTGCACTTTTTCTGTGATACATCCTTGTTGGAACAACCAACCATTAGCCGGGAAGGGGAAAGGAGCAGATGTCATGATCATCGGTTAGAATTACCGACTTTCCTTACCTCTGAAGAGGTAACCTCCACTTTTTTACTGCTTTATTCAGTACAGCAACTTCTTGTGCCCTTTCAAGAGGTGATGATTTCATCCTTTACATTTCTTCCACCTGAAAGTATGACCAGAACCACTGACTGTTTGTTTGGGCAATGGCGTATTGTATTTCTTACCTCCTTAAAAGGATGGATCTGCTAATTCCTTCCTGTATCCTACAGCCATCTGTCATCCTTGCATCTCAAAATATGAGCTGCTGCAAAGATCAATGTTTGACAGAGTATTTTTGTCAGGCAACAAATGTAAATGATTTGTCACTGGATTCATTTTGTAACGGTGAGTATAATGCACACCTTCTGTGGGATGAATGGCTGTATTGGTTTATCCTTTTTCTCTCCTTACAATCAGCTGTTTTCTTACCAATCTAGTCGGTATAAGTGGCTTCCTTAGTCACGTTCCCTTCTTTAGCAATGGAAGCAGGTTGGTCCGAGAAGTTCCTACTCCATCACCCTGGTCCCCGTACTCAGACCCACAGGCAAAAGCCATGTGCTCTGGGCGACATCCTGGTGTGAAATGCTGCAGCCTCTGGTGGCCAACGCAACAATCACTGCATCACAACAGTCGCAGGTCATTGTCACCACCTCCTCATCTGGGCAAAGTGACCTGCCCCACATCCCACCAGGGGAGCTGTAGGGGGAAGGCTCTGGCTGGCTCTGAACTCTCAAATGAGTCAAATTACACTTTAGATCTAGAGTCACCAGCTGGGGCTCTGTCTGTGACAGGGAATTTCAGGGTCAAGAACGGCTCCTTTCCCTGTGACTTGGATGGAGTGGGACTTACGCAGCCCTCACCTATGAAAGCTTATGTCATAGTTCCCTTCCCCTGCCTGTCTCCACCTCTGGGTTTGTCTCGGTCACCACCCCTACGGTGGAAAGTTCCACTTCCATCACAGTGGGCCAATGCTGAGCAGTGCTGAGTTCCTGCATCTCCCTCCGGAACCAGTGGTAGCTGCAGGTGCCCAGCCCCTCAGGACTAACCCTGTTGGCTGCATTTCATGGCACCGTGCTGTGCCCTCCATCTTGTGGTCTAGGCCGATCGCTGCAGATCCACCAGGGTGTTGCCGGCACCCAGTGCCAGAGGCGAACAACAGCAAGGTTCGTTGCCCGGTGTGCGTCACCCAATAATCACAATGGGGTGGAGAAGCAGAAAAGTTTATTTGCAGCTGGAAACAAGGTATAGGGAGAATAGAATCTCAAATCCTGCACACAGAGCAGGAAGTTACACAGGCTTTTATACATCCTTTCTTCAGCATACTTATCGAATAGCAAGCTGCCCTAAGTAGCCATATAGCCAGCCAATCCAGTTACGAGCTAGTTCCCTTGTTCTCTGTACCATCTGTTAAACCATACATAAAGCTGCTTTATTCGGCATTGTTCTTCCATATCTGCCCTGTTTGGCCTTGTTTAGTTTCAGGCAGTCTGACTCTGCAACATATTGTTGCAGATCCTCAGCAGAACTGCTGTGAGTGCCTCCAGGCGGGACGGGGGCCAAGGACACTTGGGCCTAGTGCGAGGGGGCTTCATTGACACTCGTGGTCTTCCATCACCTCGAGCTACCTAGTGGCCATGCCCCAGTGTCCCCAACAGCTCCCTCCTTTGAGAACACTCAACAACCTTGGCTCTGAGTTTTCTCACTTGGACTCCTTATTTCTTTACAATAGGACTTTGCATAAGCACTTTGTGATAGCCCTGAAGAGAATGACTTATTAACTTTTGCAAAAGGGCCCTAACACATGATACTGCACAGCATAATACCAGTAATACAAGCAATACAGGAAAGAGAAGTTTCAATAACAGGCTAAATAAACCACCCAGCCAAGACGTCAAACCCAGCCTGAAAACAAGGTTTGCAACCAATCGCTCTCGGGGTCAGTATAGGCAACCTGTGCTCCGGCTCGGGCATGGGCCTCAGCCTGTACCACCTTTTCATAGATCTCATAACTGCTATCATTTACATATACACAACATCGGGGCCCGACGAGGGCACAAACCCCTCCTTGGGATGCCAAGAGATAGTCCAAAGCCAGCCTGTTTTGGAGGGAAAACGTCCTGAGCTGCTGTACCTCTTTATTTAATGTTTTTACTGCTGACCCTAAATCACTAACCGAGTCCTCTAACTCTAAGGCCACTTTCTCAAGTACCATTTGCAGCCTTACAGTATAGCGGCCTATGCATGCCATGGCTGGTCCGGTAAACAGTGGTGCTATTCCCAGTACAGAGCACCCTACAAGCTTCTCGGTTGTGAGGGGATTCTTCATATTGCCCTCCAATGCCGTAGTCAGTGGCCGCAGGGTCTTGTCTCAGGACTTAACAGAGGTATTTCGGGCATTTCTAATCTTTCCTTTGGGCAGTGTGGCAGTTATTGACAGATGAGGAACTCCATGAGCTATATAACAGCTACCTGTCCAGTTGGCTGGCAGCACCTTGTAAGCCTTTCGGCCACATACAAAATAGTGACCGTGTAGGGCTCAGTAAGGACTGTTTCTTAAGGGGATTCCTGGGATATTTAAGGCTGTTTTTCTAAACAGTTCATATGCCCCTAAGGGGTCATCCCATCCTCCTGATTGGGTACAAGTGGGGGTGTTTCTAATTGTGCTGTTCATATTACACTCGCCATAGGGACCGCAAACCCACCATTGGCTTGCTACATTGGAGATATTAACTGGACGGCAAGTTATATTTCCAAACCCCTCTTTTGTGGTAAGATTATTTGTAAGAGTTTCCCTAAAAGGGGAGGAACCATTACACCCACACTGCTGGCCTCCCCTTTCGGTCTTTATCCAATACCCATCAGCCCACTGTGTAATAACACAGGAGCTGTTTCCCACAGGACGCCCATAGTGATCAGATTGGTTTCGGGTAAAACATAACACTCCCTCAGTGAGTACTGCAACTGAATACTCCTGGTCCTGATAGGTGGCTTGCTGTAAAGAGGTCTTCTTCCAGAATGGCGAGTCCGTTCTTTCCTGCTCTTTGGTGGCAGCTAATTCTGCTAGGGTCAGGGGCAGCATGTCAAGGGGCATTCCCGTTTTGGGGGACAGTGGAGTTGGAGCACATACCCAGCAATCAGTCTGGTTTGTTAAAGTAGCAACATGGTGCGCAAGCAAAACAAAGGAGTTATGCTCCCGATACGCACAGTTTGGAAATACCAATACAGAGAATAACAATGTTACCCAATTAATTATCACCAGAGTCTTCCCAACCCAGGGTCTCCAGTACCTGGGTGGGCCCATTTTGGCGTTAAGGGGTCCGCTATTTGTGTGTCTTAAACAGTAGCTTTAGCCCGAGATCGTCACTAGATGAGGAGTCAGCAGGTTGGATGGTCCACTGTTCTGCTGACGAGGGGGCGGGTACTGCCTTCAGACGAGAGTGATGGATCCAGTTCTTGTGTTCCTCAACCTTTACCGCTGTATGGGAGATCAGCAGGATGGTATAGGGTCCTTTCCACTTTTCCTGGAGAGGCTCGTCTTTCCAGGTACGAACAAGCACGGAGTCACCGGGCTGTAAGGAGTGGACGGGAGAGTCCAAGGGGAGAGGCTGGGAATCCTTGGTATATCTGTGAAGAGACAAGAGAACAGCAGACAGGGAACACATATACTGAGACAAAAAAAACATTACCCAACTCCCATTCCCCTGACAGAACCGGGGTGCCATTCATAGGCCATGCCTTTCCAAACATAATTTCAAAGAGACTAAGTCCTAATCTACCCTTTGGGAGAACGCGGATACGGAGTAGGACGAGGGGCAAAGCATCAGGCCATCGCAGACTTTTGAGAGATGCCGTTTAAGGGTCTGATTGGTTTGCTCCACTACCCCACTGGCTTGCGATCTCCAGGGCGTATGGAGTTTCCAGGGGATCTGTAAGGCATGTGAGATGCTTTGAATGATTTTTGACGTGAAGTGTGTCCCATTGTCAGATTCCATCCACTGGGGGAGTCCAAAGCGGGGAATGATTTCCCTAACAAACTTGAGGGCTACTATTCTGGCAGTACAATTACAGCATGGGAAGGCTTCTGGCCATCCGCTGAACTGATCCACTATGACAAGGAGATATTTGAACCCTTGGGTCCAGGGAAACTCAGTAAAGTCTATTTGCCACACTTGTCCGGGGCCCGGAGTGGGTTCTAGGGCAGCTGGTGGCACAGGATGTCCCGGTCGGAGGTTATTCTTTTGGCAGACTAAGCAGTCCGCTTGTACCTGGGCAGCCAGGGGTCAGAGTCCGGAAGTGATAAAGTATTTTCCCATTAGCTGGATAAGTGCTTCCCTGCCAGCATGAATGGTTTGATGTAGTTTCTGCAGCACCGGCCGGATCAGGCCCTTTGGTAGGAGGACCTTCCCTTCCGGGGAATGGAGCCATCCCTCCTTCTCCCGGAGACTGAGTTTGTCAGTTAGCTGTCTCTCCTCCCCAGAGTACTAAGGGGTTGGAATCTCCCCTACTGATGGGACAAGGGCATGCATATGGGCGTTCTCAGCCTGAGGGGATGGCAGGGTGGCAGCATGCTTAGCCTCTCTATCTGCCCGGGCGTTACCTTTGGCCGCATCTTGATCCTCCCTTTGATGGGCTTTACAGTGTACCAACGCCACTTCCGAGGGGAGTTGTACGGCTTCTAGGAGCCAGAGGATTTGGGGCCCGTACTTGACTGGGGAGCCTTGGGCTGTCAGCATTCCCCTTTGCTTCCATAGGCCAGCATGAGCATGCAGCACACCAAAAGCGTACTTTGAATCGGTAAAAATGTTGACCCGCTTTCCTTTTGACAGTTCAAGTGCACGGGTCAGGGCTATTAGTTCGGCAAGCTGGGCAGAGGTCCCAGCAGGCAAACCTTCAGCTTCCACAGTGTCATGGAGGGTCACAACAGCATAACCCGCCCTCCTTTGCCCATCTATTACAGTACTGCTACCATCAGTGTACCACTCATAATCTGCATTTGGGAGGGGTACATCCTTTAAATCCGGACGGCTGGAGTACTGGACATCTATGATCTCTAAACAGTCATGTTTCTGTTCCTCTGTTTCTGGCAAGAGGGTGGTTGGGTTAAGGGAGGGGCAAGGCTGTAAGGTGACTTCAGAGTTCTCTAACAGCTTAGCCTGATACCGAGCAATCCGAGCCTGGGTGAGCCAAAGCCCTCCCTTTGCATCCAATAAGGCTCGGACCATATAGGGAGTAGAGATGTTAGCTTCTCGGCTTCCTCAAGCACTAGGGCAGTAGCTGCAACCGCCCATAAACATGCTGGCCAACCCTTTGCAACCTGATCCAGTTGCTTAGAAAAATAAATCACGGGACATCTCCATGCTCCTAACAGCTGTGTGAGCACTCCTAGGGCCACCCCCTTTTGTTCATGTACGTACAACTGAAACGGCTTAGAGAGATCCGGCAGGCCCAGAGCCGGGGCTTCCATCAACTTCCTTTTCAAGATTTTAAATGCCCTGTCAGCCTCTGGGGTCCAATAGAAGGGGTCATGATCTGCTCCTTTTACACAGTCGTACAGGGGTTTAGCCCATAGTCCAAACTCTGGGATCCATATCCTGCAAAAGCCTGCCATACCCAGAAAAGCTCTGAGCCATTTACGAATGCTTGGGGTAGGGACTTGACAGATAGCTTCCTTTCTTACTCTTGAAAGCTGACACTCCCTTGCCTTAGCTGTAACCTGATTCCGCTCCACCTCAGACAACAGAGTTCTCAGGAGGATATTACAATTGTCCCAATCCGGCTTGTGACTACTGAGGCACCCCTCAAAGACTGAAATAAACCAGCTTGGGTTCATGGAGAATTCCCCAGCCTGTGTTTTAAAAGCTGCTAAGTCTATTGGATTGAATGGCACATGGGTGTAAACTTGCATAGTGGTAGCCTGACGTCTGTCTGCCCCTGGGCAAGCCACAACAGTCTTGGTAATCAAAGGAGAGAGTCCCACTGAGGGGGCAATCTCTGTAACCCGAGGCATCATACCCTTGTAAGGTGGGGGTGTGGGGGTCGAATGGGGCACCGAATCTGCCATTACAACATTGGGGGGGTTCTGGGGGCTAACATTAGCTACTACCGAACCAGTCGGAGTCAAATTACAGCTCTGCAGAATTACAGCTCTGTTCTATCTCTTAAAGCCATAAACGCTTGTGCATACAAATGTTCATTCCATTTACCCATTCGCTGACAAAACAAAACTAATTGGAGGATCGTATTATAATTGATTGACCCTCCCGGTGGCCACTGTTCCTGGTCCTCTAGCGGATATTGAGTTTATTGTACAAAACCTTTTAAATTTGCTTTTTGTTATTGGATCTGATCCAAACACTTTCCAGTTTGCTAGAATGCATTCTAGGAGTGTACACTGTGCCCTGCCTCCTGAGCTCTGTCCCTGTCCCATACCTACAGGGTAACTCTGGGCGTCCCCAGGTTCCAACAGAGCATACAATCCGGATTTCAAAAGGTTCCTACCTTATCCAAGGGACCGGTTCCCCACCGTCGCCCGCAGCTGCTCCTCCCCTTATCCAAGGGACCGGTTCCTCACCGTCACCCACAGCTGCTTCTCCACTATATGAGTGCGTTGCACCATTGTGCGCTCCGGGGTCGATCAAATCACGTCTCCTCCGAGGCCCCCGATGAACTCACCGGTGTGCGCAGGGCGTCGGTTCTCGCCGCCATCCTCGACCTCCAGGAGGGGTCCGGGCAAGGCTAAATAGCAGCCTCGTCGCCCACCCAGGGATGCCAAAAGCTGTTGACGGCACCCAGTGCCAGAGGTGAACAACAGCAGGGGTTCGTTGCCCGGTGTGCGTCTCCCAATAATCACAACGGGGAGGAGAAGCAGAAAAGTTTATTTGCAGCTGCAAACAAGGTACAGGGAGATTAGAATCTCAAATCCTGCACACAGAGCAGGAAGTTACACAGGCTTTTATACATCCTTTCTTCAGCATACTTATCCAATAGCAAGCTGCCCTAAGTAGCCATATAGCCAGCCAATCCAGTTCCCAGCTAGTTCCCTTGTTCTCTGTATCATTTGTTAAACCATACATAAAGCTGCTTTATTCGGCATTGTTCTTCCATATCTGCCCTGTTTGGCCTTGTTTAGTTTCAGGCAGTCTGACTCTGCAACATATTGTTGCAGATCCTCAGCAGGCCTGCTGCGAGTGCCTCCAGGCGCGAGGGAGGATCAAGGACACTTGGGCCGAGTGCGAGGGGACTTCATCGACACTCGTAGTCTTCCACCTCCTCGAGTTACCTAGTGGCCATGCCCCCGTGTCCCCACCAGGGGACTGACAGCCAGCGCCTCCTGTACCGGGGAATCCAGGAAGGGGTTTCAGTGTTAGCTGGAGATGGGCAGATACCAGACCCATCACTCCACCCTTCCATGGTCACTGGGGGCTCTGATAAAAGGACACCTGTTATTGGCTGTGTGGGCCCATACGTTGTCCTGGCTCTGGCCATGTAACTGGCCCAGCAGACCTCAGTCAAACTGCCCAAAAGACCACAGACTCGTTCGGTGGCAAGGGCACTTGGCCAGCTTTGTAGTCAACAAAGCACTTGTACTCGCACCCCATAGACTCTGCGTGGACACTGGGACACGGACGCCCATGAGAATGAACCAGCTCAGTCAACAGTGAGACTTTCCACCCCCCTCACATGGTTAATTACTATTCTGTAGCTGTGGGTTTGAACCCTAGGAGGGGTCAGTGTGTCCCTGTAAGATCTTTGGGGAGTGACTCTCCTGAAGAGGGGGAAGGGAGTGCTGACACAGCCCATGCAGAAGGGGAGCTGTAGCAACAAGCAGGCTGTGGAGGGGAGACCCTGGAGGACTCGGCAGCACAAATGGCATTTGTAGCCACGGCTGGTGGTGCTTCTTGTGGGGGGAGAGGCAGAGAAGTGATGGGCTTTCTCTGTGCTAATTCAGGAAGGAGCAGTGAGTGCCCAGTAAAAAGGGCTCTTCGCTGAATTTCCCAAAATCATGTCTCTGAAAAACCAGCTGTGTCCTGTCTCCAGAGGACACTGCTTAATACTTTTGAAGATTTAGAGTTCATGAAAAGGGGTTCCCTGACACACAGAGCCCTGAGCTCTGACTGGGTGTGTGTGGCTCCAGGTGGAGCCTCCAAGGCGAAAGCAGTGATCCTTTGCAGACAGGGAAATGGGACACCCGCTTTATTGTTCCCCGTACTGAGGGCAGGAGGAGCCCCCGGAGGCTGCAGGATGGAGGTACCGATGGTTCGGCGACAGAAGGAGCAGCTGTCTGCAGGACATCAGGCCACGGGGGAGGAGAGGGGTGCCCTGATCCTGACGGTCAGGAGCTTGAGGCAGAGTTGGAGACACTGTGTGCAGAGACCTCGAAACCCTGGAGAAGATGAAACTCTATAGACTGACTGAGAGGAAGACTGGTGTTAAGGAGTGTTAATGAAGGGGGCAAGGCAGCACCTGGGCCTATAAAGGGCAGAGGGCATTCCCGAGAGGGAGGGGCTGTGAGGAGGAACTGGTTGAGGGAGACTAGGGTAGGAAAGGGGAGGAAGCATCTGCCAGAGTCCCCGGAGATGCAGAAAGTGAGCTGAGAAACTGTCTTGATTTGTTCCACTTTGGGACTAAATTGCATCAGAGCCTGGGTGTGGCAGTGAGCCCTTGGCAAGCTGGGGAGAAGCCCGGCCGTGTGAAGGTTCCCACTGCGTCCTTTGGAAGGAGTCTCCTGTAGCCCTAGGCTGTGACAGACGCTGCCTTCAATCCGATCTCCCCTCCCCTGCCGGGGGTCTCCATCACTCTCCCCACTCATGTGTCTCTGTCCCTGGCCACATGCTGAGCTCCTGCATCACCCTCTGAAACCAATACGGAGCTGCAGATGTCTAGCCTCTGTGTCTGCCCTGTGCCTTTGTGCCGTCAGCCCCTCTCTGCTTTGTGTCTTGGGGTGTTTGACTCTGGCTAACGCTTGGGGCTGCAGTTTGTGTGGAAGCCTGATGCACAGTTAAGCTCTGCCCTTCTCCACGAAGGGAGGGAGCAGCTCTTTGTGTTGTCGGTGGGGCTGTGATCACCAATGCTGCAGAATATGTCACGTTGGGCTATGGGGTTTTAACTGGTGGTTTTATAGCCCTGCAGCCAGCTCCTCCTCGGCAGGGCCTGTACAGACAGTGGTGCCGTGTTAAGGCCAGGCTGAGACGGGCCGGAACCATCACTCCACCGCTCCATGATCTCTGGGGGGTTACAATAAAATAAAACCCAGATCTGACCTTCCTCCCTCCACCCTAGGTTTGGGTTCATTTTGCCAAATAAAAGCTGAAAACCAAGACCACGGCCTGCCCCCATTTTGCTCTTCTCTAGTGTTGGGTTCCATACTGCACTGCAGTTTGTGAGCCATGCCTACAATTCCCATGGTATCTTAGCCCAGGATGTCGCATTCTCCCCCCAACCGCCTTCCCAAGGTACGAGTCACTCCTATTGACTTCACCTTGGAGACGCTGTCTCCCTGCAGGGAGAATCAGGCCCCAATGGATTCCAGGAGACGGTTTTATAGAGGTTTCAGGCCCCACAACAACGTTTTGGGCATTCCCCTGTGTTTTGGGTTCAGCGTGCGGCTGCGAAGCTGATTGGGGGGGCAGGAAGTGGACGCAAGGAGGGTGATAGGCAGGCAGCAGGAACTGGAGGTTAAACAGAAGTGCACAACTGAAGTAACGTGTTGCTGGCCCCTCTCCCTTTTCCATCCCCTCCAGCCGTCTGCTACTAATACTAACTGACCCTGTCCCGTGTCCCCTGGTCGTGCTCCCAGTCCCCCTGGGGCAGATGATGGAGTTCTGATTTCCCAGAATGCCTGCAAGGAGATCTACAGACCCCAAGCTGGGCAATTCAGGGGGAATGAGCTCGTGTGGGCCAACCCAGCACTGCCCTCAGAGGTGCCAGACTTGGAGGGGGGGTTAAAGGAGAAGACAGCGCAGCTGGAGCAGACTGCAGAGGACAGAAGCTTCTGGCCCCCAGCTCCTGGGAAAGGGCTGGCTGAAGGCAAGAGCTTCGTGGATGCCCGATGGCTCCCTGAGCTGAACCAGCCCTAGGGGACTATTATTCGCTGCTAGCCTGTGAGCCCCGTTCGGAAGCTCAGGAAGCGGTGGCTCCACCTGGCCAATGGAAGAGCTGCTTTGGGGTCATTGACCACCCCTTTCAGAGCCACTCATCAGTGGCTTGGCCAGGGGGGCTCTTATGACCACAGGAGAGGGGCAGAGCGCTTGGATGTGGCCGACCAAAGGCCTTGCCCTGGCCCCTCGGGGCATCCTGGGAGAGTTTCCCCTCCCCATCCCGCGGGGGCCATGCGCACGGCTGTGCCCTCTCTGGGATGGCAGGCTGGTCTCCCCTGTGCTGGGGCCCTGCTGGGGTGGAAGAGCGACATGGGGCTGGGCCAGGCTGGCTCTGAGGGGGAGGAGCAGTGCACCAGGGAGGGACTCTCCTCTGCTGTGTGGCTGGGAGCAGGGGCCTGGCAGAGGGGCACAGGATGGGTTTATAGAAAATGCAAAAAACGAAGGGAGGCAAGATCTCTCTAATGGATTTTATTGTCAGTTTCTAAATGGCCCAAAGGGCTGGTCCCTGCTCGATGCCCCCAGAGGAAGGCGAAAAACCTCCAGGGTCTCTGGCCAATCTGCCCTGGAGGAAAATTCCTTCCTGACCCCAAACATGGCGATCAGTTTCACCCTGTGCATGCGAGCCAGGACCACAGTGGGGAAAGGACCCACTGGGCACTGTGGTTACACACCCTGTCCCAGGCCCCTCCAGGGGATTGTCTGTGTCCCAGTACTAACCAGTGGCCTGTTCTTTCTTCTTTGCTTCCATCCCGGTAGATAGGACCAGCTACTCCCCTTAGCCCAAGAGGTGACCCCAGGCACCTCTTGAACATTATTTCTTGAATACTGACCACACTGGCTGTGTTTCCTTCATCTGAAAATCTAACCAAAGCCACTGACAAGCAGGTGCATCACCTCCTGATAAAGATGAATCCCCTGAGGTCTGCCATGCCCCTGAGCTCTTCTTAGATCCTGAGATGTGTGATCAGCTGTAACAAACTCTTTGACACAACATAAGTTAGTAATTTTGAAGAGTTGATTGTATGCCCATTTGGTAGACTTACCAAATGCTTCTTACCTCTCTTCAGAGCCAATTCTGTTGCTTTATTGAATGAAGGGTCTTTTTCATGGTTTCATATCTTATGAGATCCACTGTCCTTTCAGGTGTTGGATCTGTTCAGCTCCATTCCTATTCCTTTGTGCTCAAATCCTGAGTGTCTGTAACTCTTCTCCTGAACAGACAAATCAGCTTCACAAACTAGTTTCTGCAAAGCACAGCTGTGGCTGTAGAGATCAGCATTTGACAGTAACTTGTTTGCTTATTATCAGTTTTACAGGCCCATAAATGTACACAATGTGTCATGATCTGCTCCATTTGGCAATAAGAGAATCCTAAGTTCTCACCTCTGTCAGTGACGGTCTCCTGCATTGTGGGTTTGTAACTTGATGGTGATAAGGGATTGTCTTCCCATTCTAGTCAAGGAAGGCAACTTTTTTCGCTCTAGGCCGGTCTGGGAACATGTGTTCCTGTATTCTTCAGTATCATGACTGCTTATAGTCCTCAACCCCTGGGAGATCAGATCAGCTGCATTTCTTTCACCTGAAGGGAAACCAGATCCATTAATTTCTACATTATGAGGTGAGGTCCTTACCTCTTGGCAACAGTGATGAGTTTCACTGGTTTCCTTCCTGCAGATATCTCAGATCTTCTCGCAACTTCCTGAAGTTTTCAAAGTTCAAATCAGCTGCATTTCTCTCATCTGAAAGTATAACAGCATCTATTCATTTCCACTTGAATGATAAAGAAATCTGCTTTTTTCCTTCTCAACTCACATGCCTGGTTCAGCAAGTTGCATTTGCATTAATCCCTACAAGAGCACAACAGCACTCTGGTCTTCTTCCCTCTGGAGATGTGCAATGTGTGACCTATTTATTTGGTCTGTAAGTGTTGCTTTAGCATGAGATTCATTTGACAACCAGGGAAACTTCAATGCTTACCTCCATGTCTGTGTTTTGCTGACTTCCTTCATGTTCAGATTTGCAACTAGCTGAACTATTTGAAGTGACTGTTTGTTTTCTGTTTGTTGTTCCTCGAAATAACAGCGTCTTCTCATTGGAGTCCTCCATGGATTGAGCAGCTGGCAAGTCCATGTTCCTTTGTCTTGACTCTGTTTTTCACACTCTCCCCATGACAAGTAAGGTCCACCACAGTTCTTCTCCCTGAAAGAAAACTCCACACCACTTGATATACACATGGATGTTTGGAGACTGGTATTGCTTACCTCCTTGCCCGGGACAGCCACTTACCCTCACTTCTCCCTAGTAGGAATGGCCATCTGGTCTGTTCCCATCTCCAATTAGCAAAACCTGACAATTATTTATTATTATTACTCATTACTAGTTATGAAGAGTCATCAATAGAAATGGTTCCTTACCATCCAGATCATTAGGCTTCTACAGACTTTTCCGTGCTCACCTACTTGTCAATGATGTTTCACCAAAAAGCTTTGATTCTTCGAGGTACAGCCAGCTACACTGGTTACAACTTGAAGCATATAATTGGCTGCTTTCCTCTTTCTCAACTAGAAGAAAAGATGCTTTTCTTCCCCCTGGCCAGATATCGTTACCTGTCTGACTATTATTAAATTCAGCAGCCTCTTATCTTCCCCCGCCCCCCTTAATGGTCAGACCTTCATTTCACCTGAAAATAGAAATAGAGCCAGTTATTCCTGCCCCTGTGCTGAGAGGAGGTGTATTCCTTACCTCTTGATAGAAATGATCAATTCCACTGATTTCTTCTTGACATTTGATAAATAAGCAACAATGATCAATTCTGCACAAAGAGAATCAGCTGGACAACTCATCTCTGCAAATGTAAGAGCAGCTTAAATGCTCATTTTCACACTCTGGTTAGTTGCAATTTTTCTGGGATACATCCTTGTCGGAACAACCAACCATTAGCCGGGAAGGGGAAAGGAGCAGATGTCATGATCATCGGTTAGAATTACCGACTTTCCTTACCTCTGAACAGGTAACTCCCTCTTTTTTATTGCTTTATTCAGTACAGCAACTTCTTGTGCCCTTTCGAGAGGTGACGATTTCATCCATTACATTTCTTCCACCTGAAAGTATGACCAGAACCATTGACTGTTAGGGCAATGGCGTGTTTTATTTTTTACCTCCTTAAAAGGCTGGATCTGCTAATTCCTTCCTGTATCCTACAGCCATTTGTCATCCTTGCATCTCAAAATATGACCTGCCTCAAAGATCAATGTTTGACAGAGTATTTTTGTCAGGCAACAAATGTCAATGATTAGTCCTTGGATTCGTTTTGTAACGGTGAGTATAAATGCACACCCTCTGTGGAATGAATGGCTGTATTGGTTTATCTTGTTTCTCTACATACAATCAGCTGTTTTGTTACACATCTAGTAGGTATAAGTGGTTTCCTTATTTTTGACTAGAAGAAGTAGATATTTCTGTAACCTCTCAGAAGCTTTGGTTCTGTATATTGCTTTATTCTGACGAAACTGCTGGTAGCCTTTGACAGCAAAGGATAGATTCACTTCCTTCACCTGAAAGTACGTTCAGATTGGTTAGTTTCCACTCCATTGCTAGGAGAAGGTGCATCCCTTACCTCTTGATAGGAACAGTTTCTCTGATTACTAAAGTGGTACAATAAGAACTTCTGACAGACAAGCTGCAATGATTCAATCAACGGAAGCCGGACCAAGTGCAGTGTCGTCTCTTGAAAGGTGAGAACCAAGCTGATGCCACCTCTCAGCTCTGGCCACTTGTACCCTTTCCTTTCTGAATTGTACAAATGCCTCCATTATTACCCCTAGTCATTACACCTGGCTACTTTGCCTACGTCTTGACAAAGGCAATCAGGATTCTACCTCAAGATAAAAAAATCCGTCTAGGTTCTTACTCCCATCCACTTCCTCTGTCCTTCTCCTTTCTCTTGTCTTGCAGCCTCTTTGCCCATTCCTTTTCCATGTGTGTCTCTCTCTCCTCTCCCAGTCCCCTTCCCTCTTTCTTCTCTGTCCCTTCCTCAGTTCCCTGGTGTTTTTCTCACTAACATCTTCATTTCCCCCTGCCCCCTCCGCCATCTGATGCCTCATTTCCCTTTCCCCCCAGTCTTTTCCCTGCCTTGTTTCCTTCCTCCTTACAAGAATTCTTTCCTTCATCCTTCTGTGTGTCACGTTCCCTTCTTTAGCAATGGAAGCAGGTTGGTCCCACAAGGCTCTGCTCCAACACCCTGGTCCCTGTACTCAGACACAGAGGCACAAGCCATGTGATCTGGGCGACATCCTGGTGTGAAATGCTGCAGCCCCTGGTGGCTGACCCAACAATCACTGCATCACAAGAGAGTCACGGGTCATCGTCACCACCTCCTCATCTGGGCAAAGAGACCTACCCCACGTCCCGCTAGGGGAGCTGTAGGGGGAAGGCTCTGGCTGGCTCTGAACTCTCAAATGAGTCAAATTACACTTCAGATCTAGAGTCACCAGCTCTGGCCAATCTGCCCTGGAGGAAAATTCCTTCCTGACCCCAAACAGGGCGATCAGTTTCACCCCGTGCATGCGAGCCAGGACCACAGTGGGGAAAGGACCCACTGGGCACTAAGGTTAAACACCCTGTCCCAAGCCCCTCCAGGGGATTGTCTGTGTCCCAGTACTAACCAGTGGCTAGTGCTTTCTTCTTTGCTTCCATCCCAGCAGATGGGACCAGTCGCTCCCCTTAGCCCAAGAGGTGACGCCAGGCACCTTTTGAACATTATTTCTTGAACACTGACCACACTGGCTGTGTTTCCCTCATCTGAAAGTCTAACCAAAGCCACTGACAAGCAGGTTCATCATCTCCTAATAAAGATGAATCCCCTGAGGTCTGCCATGCCCCTGAGCTACTCTTAGATCCTGAGATGTGTGATCAGCTGTAACAAAACCTTTGACGCAACAGAAGTTAACAATTTTGTAGAATTGATTATATGCTCATTTGGTAGACTTACCAAATGCTTCTTACCTCTCCTCAGAGCCAATTCTGTTGCTTTATTGAATGAAGGGTCTTTTTCATGGTCTCATATCTTATGAGATCTAATTGTCCTTTCAGGTGTTGGATCTGTTCAGCTCCATTCCTATTCCTTTGTGCTCAAATCCTGAGTGTCTGTAACTCTTCTCCTGAAAAGACAAATCAGCTTCACAAACTAGTTCCTGCAAAGCACAGCTGTGGCTGTAGAGATCAGCATTTGACAGGTAACTTGTTTGCTTATTATCAGTTTTACAGGCCCATAAATATACACGATGGATCATGATCTCCTCCATTAGGCAATAAGAAAATCCTAAGTTCTCACCTCTGTCAGTGACGGTCTCCTGCATTGTGGGTTTGTAACTTGACGGTGTTAAGGGATTGTCTTCCCATTCTAGTCAAGGAAGGCAACTTTTTCCCCTCTCTGCAGGTCTGGGAACATGTGTTCCTGTATTCTTCAGTAACATGACTGCTTACAGTCTTCAACCCCTCGGAGATCAGATCAGCTGCATTTCTTTCACCTGAAGGGAAACCAGATCCATTAATTTCTCCATTATGAGGTGAGTTCCTTACCTCTTGGCAGCAGTGATGAGTTTCACTGGTTTCCTTCCTGTAGATATCTCAGATCTTCTCGCAACTTCCTGAAGTTTTCACACCCTCAAAGTTCAAATCAGCTGCATTTCTCTCATCTGAAAGTATAACAGGATCTATTCATTTCCACTTGAATGATAAAGAAATCTGCTTTTTTCCTTCTCAACTCACATGCCTGGTTCAGCAAGTTGCATTTGCATTAATCCCTACAAGAGCACAACAGCCCTCTGGTCTTCTTCCCTCTGGAGATGTGCAATGTGTGACCTATTTATTTGGTCTGTAAGTGTTGCTTTAGCATGAGATTCATTTGACAACCAGGGAAACTTCAATGCTTACCTCCATGTCTGTGTTCTGCTGACTTCCTTCATGTTCAGATTTGCAACTAGCTGAACTATTTGAAGTGACTGTTTGTTTTCTGTTTGTTGTTCCTTGAAATAACAGCATCTTCTCATTGGAGTCCTCCATGGATTGAGCAGCTGGCAAGTCCATGTTGCTTTGTCTTGACTCTGCTTTTCACACTCTCCCCGTGACATGTAAGGTCCACCACAGTTCTTCTCCCTGAAAGAAAACTCCACACCACTTGATATACACATGGATGTTTGGAGACTGGTATTGCTTACCTCCTTGCCCGGGACAGCCACTTACCCTCACTTCTCCCTGGTAGGAATGGCCACCTGGTCTGTTCAAATCTCCAATTAGCAAAACCTGACGATTATTTATTATTATTACTCATTACTAGTTATGAAGAGTCATCAATAGAAATGGTTCCTTACCATCCAGATCATGAGGCTTCTACAGACTTTTTCGTGCTCACCTACTTGTCAATGATATTTCACCAAAAAGCTTTGATTCTTCGAGGTACAGCCAGCTACACTGGTTACAACTTGAAGCATATAATTGGCTGCTTTCCTCTTTCTCAACTAGAAGAAAAGATGCTTTTCTTCCCCCTGGCCAGATATCGTTACCTGTCTGACTATTATTAAATTCAGCAGCCTCTTATCTTCCCCCGCCCCCTTAATGGTCAGACCTTCATTTCACCTGAAAATAGAAAAAGATCCAGTTATTCCTGCCCCTGTGCTGAGAGGAGGTACGTTCCTTACCTCTTAATAGAAATGATCAATTCCACTGATTTCTTCTTGACATTTGATAAATAAGCAACAATGATCAATTCTGCACAAAGAGAATCAGCTGGACAACTCATCTCTGCAAATATAAGAGCAGCTTAAATGCTCATCTTCACACGCTGGTTAGTTGCACTTTTTATGTGATACATCCTTGTCGGAACAAGCAACCATTAGCCGGGAAGGGGAAAGGAGCAGATGTCATGATCATCGGTTAGAATTACCGACTTTCCTTACCTCTGAACAGGTAACTCCCTCTTTTTTATTGCTTTATTCAGTACAGCAACTTCTTGTGCCCTTTCGAGAGGTGACGATTTCATCCATTACATTTCTTCCACCTGAAAGTATGACCAGAACCATTGACTGTTATGGCAATGGCGTATTGTATTTCTTACCTCCTTAAAAGGATGGATCTGCTAATTCCTTCCTGTATCCTACAGCCATCTGTCATCCTTGCATCTCAAAATATGACCTGCTGCAAAGATCAATGTTTGACAGAGTATTTTTGTCAGGCAACAAATGTCAATGATTAGTCCTTGGATTCGTTTTGTAACGGTGAGTATAAATGCACACCCTCTGTGGAATGAATGGCTGTATTGGTTTATCTTGTTTCTCTACATACAATCAGCTATTTTGTTACAAATCTAGTAGGTATAAGTGGTTTCCTTATTTTTGACTAGAAGAAGTATATATTTCTGTAACCTCTCAGAAGCTTTGGTTCTGTATATTGCTTTATTCTGATGAAACTACTTGTAGCCTTTGACAGCGAAGGATAGATTCACTTCCTTCACCTGAAAGTACACTCAGATTGGTTAGTTTCCACTCCATTGCTAGGAGAAGGTGCATCCCTTACCTCTTGATAGGAACAGTTACTCTGATTACTAAAGTGGTACACACAAGAACTTGTGACAGACAAGCTGCAGTGATCTAATCAACGGAAGCCGGACCAAGTGCAATGTCGTCTCTTGAAAGGTGAGAACCAAGCTGATGACACCTCTCAGCTATGGCCACTTGTACCCTTTCCTTTCTGAATTGCACAAATGCCTCCATTATTACCCTTAGTCATTACACCTGGCTGCTTTGCCTTTGTCAAGATGTAAGCAAACAGGATTCTACCTGAAGCTAAAGAAATCAGTCCAGGTTCTTACCCCCATCCACTTCTGTGCTTCTCCTTTCTCTTCTCTTGTAGCCTTTGCCCACTCCTTTTTCATCTCTCTCCTCTCCCAGTCCCCTTCCCTCTTTCTTCTCTGTCCCTTCCTCAGTTCCCTGATGTTTTTCTCACTTACTTCTTCATTTCCCCCCTCTCCTTCCTTATCAATACCTCATTTCCCCCTGCCTGCCTTGTTACCTTCCTCCTTACAATAATTCTTTCCTTCATCCTTCTGTGTCTCATGTTCCCTTTAGCAATGGAAGCAGGTTGGTCCCACAAGGCTCTGCTCCAACACCCTGGTCCCTGTACTCAGACACAGAGGCACAAGCCATGTGATCTGGGCGACATCCTGGTGTGAAATGCTGCAGCCCCTGGTGGCCGACCCAACAATCACTGCATCACACCTGAGTAGCGGGTCATTGTCACCACCTCCTTATCTAGGCAAAGTGACCCGTCCCATGTCCTCCCAGGGGATCTGTAGGGGGAAGGCTCTGGCTGGCTCTGAACTCTGAGTCAATTTACACTTCAGATCTAGAATCACCAGCTGGGGCTCTGTCTGTGACAGTGAGTTCCAGGGTCACAAACGGCTCCTTTCCCTGTGACTTGGATGGAGTGGGGCTTACGCAGCCCTCACCTATGAAAGCTTACGTCATAGTTCCCTTCCCCTGTCTGTCTCCACCTCTGGGTTTGTCTCGGTCACCACCCCTCTGGTGAAATGTTCCACTCCCATCACAGTGGGCCAATGCTGAGCAGGGCTGAGTTCCTGCATCTCCCTCAGGAACCAGTGGGAGCTGCAGGTGCCCAGCCCCTCTCAGGACTAACCCTGTTGGCTGCATTTCATGGCACTGTGCTGTGCCCTCCACCAGGGGACTGACAGCCAGCGCCTCCTGTACCGGGGAATCCAGGCAGGGGTTTCAGTGTTAGCTGGAGATGGGCAGATACCAGACCCATCACTCCACCCTTCCATGATCGCTGGGGGCTCTGATAAAAGGACACCTGTTATTGGCTGTGTGGGCCCATACCTTGTCCTGGCTCTGTCCAGGTAGCTGGCCCAGCAGACTTCAGTCAAACTGCCCGAAAGACCACAGACTCGTTTGGTGGCAAAGGCGCTTGGCCATCTTTGTCAACAAAGCACTTGTACTCGCACCCCATAGACTCTGCGTGGACACTGGGACACGGACGCCCATGAGAATGGACCAGCTCAGTCAGCAGTGGGACTTTCCACTGCCCCCTTGGCCAGATGTGCCTTCCGTGACCCCTCTTTTATACACTGTTACAGACAAGTTGTGTATTATCCCTCTGATGTGGTTAGTTACCATCCTGTAGCTGTGGGTTTGAACCCTAGGAGGGGTCAGTGTGTCCCTGTAACATGTTTGGGGAGTGTATTTATTCTATAACTCTGTAGCGGGGTATTCTTGTTCTACCCTTCTGGAATGTTTTTCGTTAATAACTAGTGCATAGTATTTATTCGGCGTGTCTCTGTTTTAGCAACACCAGCCACATCCTTACCAAGTTCATGTACTGGACAGTGAAGGTGTAAGCAGGCATGTGCTTTGTAGCAGGGCCTGACTCTTGCTCATAGTCTGACTGGCTGATTTTTGGTTCAGGCCTCATCTTGTACCAGGCCCTGTGTTTCAGGCTCTTTCTGCTACAACACCCATATCTAAACCATCCCAGGTTTGGCTTTGGTTATCCCAGCAGATAAGTTTGCAAAACCCAAGACCCAAACAATCTCTCCCTTTGTTCTTTAGTGTTAGGGCCTCTCCAGCCTCGTTTGTGAGTGAACCTCCCTGTAACTTCGGTTGCCTGGAACTCCCAGATCTTGACACCTTGACCCCCCAGGGCAGGAGCAACTCCCATTGATTTCCACTTGGAGATACTCTTACCCTCCAGTCAGCATCAAGCCCCAGCATTGCTGGCCTGAAGCTTTCAGAAGTTTGGGCTTATAGAGTTTGCGAGTGAGCAAAGAGTCAGCTCTGGAAGTGAATTCCACCACAACCATTTGTACTTCACTGTGTGGTTTGGGTTCAGTCTGATGATCTAAGGACAATGTTTGTGAGAACTAGAGATCTGTCAGCAGGAAGTGGAGATGAAACAGAGTTGTTCAGGTGTATTGTATAGGGAAGGTGAATGAGAGCTAGAACTGAAGGGGAGGGAGTGGAAAAGACAGATCTCTCAATGGCCTCTGATTGTCTCACTCAGAAACATAACTCCATAAAACACAAGCAGGAAAGAAGACAGAAGTGGCATTTTGCTTACTTGGTTTAGGTTGGATATTAGGAAAAGCTTTTTCACTCAGAGGATGGTGCAACACTGGAATGCGTTACCTAGGGAGGTGGTAGAATCTCCTTCCTTAGAAGTTTTTAAGGTCAGGCTTGACAAAGCCCTGGCTGGGATGATTTAATTGGGGATTGGTCCTGCTTTGAGCAGGGGGTTGGACTAGATGACCTCCTGGGGTCCCTTCCAACCCTGATATTCTATGATTCTATGATTCTACAGTTCAGGATGTGCCGCAGTGTTCCTTATGACCGATTTATGGAAATATTGGACACTATGAGGTTGATGCATGGGGCATATTTATAGCGTTACTAGTTTTTCAGTGTGAAGGATTTTGGTAACTGGAAGACCTGATGACTTTGAAACAAAGCTAACCATTATGGATAAGGCCTTTCGACCTAATTAGGGCCCTGGTTACCCCACGGCCAGCTGGGTCTGTGTTCAGGGGCCTATTCTATATCCTTGTGCTCTGCGTGGGTATAGCAGGCTGGAAATTTTTGCAGCAGCTTCATTCACCTTGTTAACAATATTTTGACTGAACTGAATATGAAGAAAGATCATATATATAACCGTACTTAAAACAAAGATACATTAGATTTATTTTACTAGTGTTTTTACACCCATTTTACTTTTAGACCCAAACCCTATAAGTTAAGCAGACTCTGCCTTTCTCAGAGGAATTAGTCTCCCCCCCGCCAGCAATCTGAAGTTCAAGTTATTCCACAAGAGACAGGCCAACCTGGGCCCAACCTCTCCCTGATTCAGTACCTTCCTTTCCAAGCTCTGTCATGTTCTCACTGCTCTGCGCTTGGGCTCCTCCCTAGCCCTGCTGGGTTACTCACCTGCCTCCATGGTCCCAGCTTTCACCCACTTCTCCGTCATGCACCAAAACCCCCACCCCCTTTTCGGAGTTTACTCTCCTCCTTCTGAGGCCAGCCTGATTTCTGCCTGCTGCCAGCAGCTCTGCCAGGATTAGTAGCTGAGCAATCGCCTTACCATGATGAGAGGAGGTGCAGAGCAGACAGCAATCATGGATGGTGGGTGCGCTTCACTAGGTCCAGTAAGGGTTTCATATCATTGCACGTTTCCCAGCTTTCTAGGATACGTAACCCGGCCTGCTGGAAGGATCAGGAGAAGGAGAGGAACAGGCTCCCACTGCTTCATGTAGTGACCCAAGCCCCGCTCTGCTCACCCCAAGTATCAACCCTGCTCTGTACAATACCAAATTGTCATTCTTGGCCCCACTAAAGAGAGAGGGAGAGACGCCCCTCAGGTGGCACGTCTGGTACGTGACACGACACCAGGTCCCTCAACAGCTTCTGGCCATTCACCAGCCGGCATCGCTCCTGCACTCGAGCACCTGCTCCAGCGTCCCTGAAGGGAAGGCGCCTCCAGCGTGAGCCCTGAGATGGAGCCCAGCTCCAGCCTTGTTGGTTGATGCCCCATTTCCCGCTTCACTGAGCGGGACGCAAAGCCCAGCTGCCCCAGATACCAACTGAAGCTCCAGCAGCTCCCAGCTTCCCCATTCCAGACCCCATCCTCGAACCCTGACCATCCCCACAGAGCCAGCCCAGGGTTGCCATGGTTACCTCTGATGGCCCCTCCTGGATTGTTCTGCTTCTTCCAATGCTGCTTCCTGCTGGCCAGATTCCATCGCGGGAAATAATGAACTTGAACTGTTGGAGCCCCTAGACAGTAGTGGCATAAGCAAAAAATCACCCAACTAGGGGTTAAAGAACTGCAAGAGACTCCAGAGTTTTGACCCTGCCCTCGGCAGAGTTCAGGGTGCTTAGTTTCTCCCGCATGCTCCACTCAACTCCAACCCCACTTCGTGTTCCAGCCGCTGTTGCTTCTGGGCTCCATGGGTCTCTTTTGGGTGTGTCCCATCCACCCTACTGGGTCTGTGTGCAGAGGGGGCGCATTTGCAATTTAAACTCTCAATGCCTTTGCTCAAATCCCGATTCACAAATGAACGGATCCGCCACACAGAGAACCACAGCTCCAAGGCGCACCGGGGTCCCCCGAAGCCTTTGCAAAGATTCCAGACAAAGCCTTGAGCCAGATCCTCAACGTAGCTCTGCTGAATCCAATCTTATACCAGTTTACAGCACATGAAGAGGTGACTCTGAGTCTTAATTGTCTTGACCAAACGGCATCTCCCAATACTCTTGGCCCTCCCAAATTATTTGTGTGGCAGGAATTTCCGAAAATAGAGCCCTGAATATTGGCTAAAAGCCTCTGTAAATGATCAGGTTCTAGGGCAGAGGTGGACAAACTATGGCCTGTGGGCCACATCCGGCCCGCGGTACCCTCCTGCCCAGACCCTGAGATCCTGACCCGGGGGTCTAGCCGCCAGCCCTGCCCCTGCTGTTCCCCTACCCCCGCAGCCTCAGCTCAGGGTGCCGCCGACGCAATGCTCTGGGCAGCGGGGCTGCGAGCTCCTGCCAGGCAGTGCAGCTGCAGAGCCTGGCCGGACCCGGTGCTCTGGCTGCGCGGTGCGTGGCTGGCTCCAGCCGGGCGGCGCAGCTGCCTGTCGTGGCACTCTGGGCGGCATGGCTGTAGTGCTGCCAGCCACCGGTGCTCCAGGCAGTGCGGAAAGGGGGCAGGGAGAAGGGGGGGGTTGGATAGAGGGCAGGGGAGTTTGGGGGGGTAGTCAGGGGGTGGGGGTGTGGATGGGGTCAGGGCGGTCAGAAGGCAGGGAACAGGGGGGTTGGATGGGGCAACGGGAGGCAGTCAGGGGCAGAGGTTCCCGGGGTGGTCAGGGAGAAGGGGTGGTTGGATGGGGCACGGGTCCCCAGGGGGCAGTCAGGAATGAGAGGAGGGGTTGGATGGGGCAGAGGGAGGCAGTCAGGGGCAGGGGTCCAGGGGCGGTCAGGGGACAGGGAGGGGTGAATGGGGCAGAGATCCAGGAGGGCCATCAGGGGACAGGGGAGTTGGATGGGGCAGGAGTCCCGGAGGGGCCATCGGGGGAGAGAAGTGGGGGGAGGGTCCCCCCAGGGGGAGGGGGCGGGCCATGCCTGGCTGTTTGGGGAGGCACAGCCTCCCCTAACCGGCCCTCCATACAATTTTGGAAACTCGATGTGGCCCTCGGGCCAAAAAATTTGCCCGCCCCTGTTCTAGGGTCTGACCCAGTTTCAGGGTAACTGCACCTGTGTTCCTCCTCTATGATCCACGAAGGGGCCCCACTTAGTGATTTCTAGCTCCTCAGCCATCATCCTTCTTGGCCAGAGTCTGGCGTCTCTCTTCCTCCTGACCGGAGCGTTCGGGCGGCACAGCTCCTGGCTGGGGTGATATCCCCAGCGTGCCAGACTGCCTAAAGGCCAGCACCTGGGGCACTGATTTCTTTCCTGAGGCTATGCCCACCATTGTAAGTTACCACACAGCTCTTTCTAAGCGAGCACATTTATTCTTAAGGGGAAAGCAGTACAGAGAAACCACATTAAAGCAAAGAAGAACCTATACGAATGCTAAGACACTTACCAGAGATCATCCCAAATCCAGCCTCTGGCTCTGGAATGTGTCAGTCCTTCAAAACCCACAAGTGGGTTTCTCCCGTAGTTACAGATTCACAACCATCTCAGATTCAGAACCGGAACTGAGCCTGAGCAGATCAGCCTGTTTCTTTATACTCTGATTCTGTAGAGTAGGTGACCTGTGCTAAACCAGGAACAAAATATCTAACCCTATCTGTGCATCTGTTATGCTCATCACTGTGGAATCCAGGCACCATGTACACAGATAAGTTATATCTATTTCTGTCTGCAAGAGGACCTGGCACAATGTGTTGCAATACAAACAAGACAGCCAAGTGCCTGCATTAAATGATTAACTATTCGATGTTTACTCATTTGTAACCACTATGCCCATGTAGGAACTTCCTGGGTATCATTTTGCTACTAATTACATCCCCTCAGAACTTCCTCTTGGGTGAGAACACAGTTCTCCCTGCAACAAAAGCACAGGCACATAATACATGAGCCAAAGGAAACGCTCCACTAACTATGAGCGATATAGGGTCGGTGATACACAGCTGAGCAGTTCAGATGCCATCCAGGAGAAGGCAATGGTGCAAATGAACCGTGACCAGTTCCTTAGAACAGTCCATTCCAAAACAAAATAACAACTTAGCACTTAAGTCGCACTTCACATTTTCAAGGCACTGCACGCATATGTGCTATGACTTAATTACCTAAATATAAGGACTAATGTACAATTAACCTGACCAAACCATGTCTACAAGAGACACAAGTTACAAAAGCTTGCCATCCTGAGTTAGATGTAAGCGGAGTGCATCTGCGCCCACCTTACCGCCCCTTCAACGACAGGAGCTGGGGAAAGTGTTGATTTTTCAGCCCCACCTGTGTCTGGAAAGCGCCCCGATTCGCCTTTCACTCCCCATAGTGTACATCAGGGCACATGTGATCAGATATTGTTTGCGTTTAGGAGAGTGTTCAGAACGTAGTTACTCGTGTGAAACTGCAGGAAGGGGGAGTAGATCGGAGACTCTTACAAACAGAATTCCAGTGGATCTGAAATCCTGTCAGTGACCTTGGTGAAGAAAATGAGAAATAAGTATGCACAGACATAGCCACGAGAGGGAGCCCACATAGCAGAAACACTGTCAGAGGCTGGTGAAACATTTAGGTTTTGTCTACACTAGCGGTTTTGTCAGCAAAACTTTTGTCAGTGCGGGGCGTGAAAAAACAAACACCTGGACCAACATCCATTTCACCGACAAAAGGGCCAGTGTGGACAGCACTGTGTCAGCAGGAGAGCTCGTTGGGAGTAGTTTAATTAGGCCAGAGCGTTCTCCTCCCAGCACAGAGCAGCTACACAGAAGACTTTACAGCGGCACAGATGTGCTGCTGTAAGGTCCATAGTGTAGATACACCCTAAGCAGGAAAAGAAAGTTTCTTTTCTAACGCATTGCAAAGCAAGAGCAATGTAAATCTGACTCCATGTCAGTCAGGAGACGACCCATTTAGTGGCTCTGCATTATTAAAATTACCACTTAAGAGCATGCACTATAGTGAGAGGATCTGTGTCAGAGGGTGAAGTTCCAGTATTTGGAGAAAATCCCAGATTTTACCATCAGATTTGCTCTAGTATGGATAGAAATGGCAGCACCTGTCAGAGAGGGCTGAAAATCACAACTAGGAAATCAAAGTGAGCTAGGCCCAAATCAGTACCCTGGATCCCAATACACAGAAGTGTGTGTGTGTGTGTGTGTGTGTGTGTGAATGAGAGAGAGAGAAGAAGTGTGGTAAGTGTGTGTGTAAAAATCCAAACCCAGATCTGTTCCACAATCTCACATTTAGGTGATCCCTATCTTCATAATGAACCAAATTAAAACCCCAGATTGACACGGCCCTGAGGGACTTGGGGGTGTTTGAAAACTGGACGCAAAGTAACTTTAAGCTTAATGCTAAGGCTCATACAACTGGCTAGCTCTCTCCTCCAGGGTCCAATACCAGTCCCGCCTTCTCGCGCGCTGAAGGTAAGGACAACAAGCAGCCAAGAAGAGGAACAGGTCTGTTGATGGCAGTCAAGGAGAGGAATGTATCTGCCACACAGGGAGCCAGAAGAAGACAATGTACAACCAGTGCTGGGATGGGGATACAGGGAGTGGGTTACCTTTTCAATGGTAAAAGCATCCAGCAGTGTTTGCCCGTTCAAATCTCTGCATGCACAATTGCTCCCTTGACGGGGCAGTTAGATACATAACCCATATCAGGCCTGATCCTAGATGCACTGAGCATCTGAAGCCCCCCACTGACTTCAGTGGCAATTGCTGGGCTATGGCTCCTCTCAGAAGCGGCCCAAGGGGTGCCCAGATGCAGGTTTTCAAGCAGACAAACTCAGGTACCTGTAAATATTTGCAGAAGCATTTTTAGGGCCCAGGAAAATGTTGGCCGTAAAGAAGAACATTTTCTAAAAAGCAGAAAGTGTTTTTTTAAATGGTGACGAAGGAATAAGATTTAACTAATGGAATTAAGCAACAGGGGAACAGGGTCGGAGAAACAAGTTAGTAACTGTTATGATTAAAAACCGACACTCAATTCTTGCTGCTTAACTCAGTAATTAGTTGATATTAAAATCTCATTTTGGTAACAGTGCATAGTGAATATTAATAGATCCCCTATTAATAATGCATTTTAATGGTGCAAGAAGGGTTATGTTAACTATAAATATGCAGAGTAACTAGCTTTCACACTAAAGATCTTGCCTGCTGAATAAATCACAGAGGCTGATTCAGAAGGAGCTAATTTGCCTCTTTCATGGATCAGAGTCTAACTAAGAAGACACTGAGCATAAAACAAGCTTGGTAAGGAGGTATCCGTGATCTGTGTTCCACCATTGAACTCAGGGACCTAAAAGGCAGCTACTCAGAAGATCCAGAAACAGAAAGTTGTATGAGAAAGCATGATGTAGTGATTAGAGCAGGAAGTCAGTGCTTCAGTTCAGGGTTGTAATAAAGGTGCCAGACACAGGAGTGCTGCGGGGAGAGTGTGGAGAAGGGGGTCCCAGTCACTGACATGGGCCAGGGTTACAAAAGGGTAATACCACCATCAGATGGCAAAGCTCAATATCCAGTAACTCCAGGTGTCTCTCTCCTTCTTGGGTCTCCAACCGAATGGCCTCACCTGGTTCATTGGAATGACAATGGGCCTTTTCCAAGTGATGTTGCCTGAGTCACAGCACTCCGGACATTTCTGCAGGCCTAGCTAGACATTTGCAGTGCCCTTGATCCCGCTGGGATGTACTGTCGATCGGCAGTGATTCCAGGCCTGGGGCAGTCTCGATCCTTTGCCCCTCTCGGATTTCTCTACCATGACCTTTGCCTCCAGGAGAGTCTGGAACGCTGCCGCCCCCTGCTCAGCTCTCTGCCGGGTTCCCTTCCAGATTGGGATTCAGGAGCCTCATTTGTTCCATTTTTGCTCCGAGGTGCACCACATCGTAGAGTGCCCATAAGGGATTGGTCTATTTCCTGGCCGCAGTCATGTGACACAAATGTTCACGTCAGTTACGGTCTTCACTGGCTGCTGTGGCTACTGTTTCCCAGACCGCTCTTCAGACTCTGCGCTCCCCAGCCCCAGCGAGGTGCAGAGCTAATTCTGTACACCCACCGCATTGTCTGAGCTGCACCACAAACCACCGTCTCACAAGTGCTCCTTCCACGTCTGCATGGCACTTGCTTAGACAGAAAGGAAGGTATTTCTTCCTCCTGTGGCCGTGCTTAAAGCATCGGAGCTTAGATCACCATAGCGTCTAGTCCGCCACTTTTCACAGCTGTCAGAGTGCAACCTGGTGGTTGCTGGGCTTTATTCAAACCTCATGCAGCAGTGTCTTCTTCCAACTGGAGGTCACTCCTGTGAGATGTTGGCTTCAGACTAAGGGACAGGTCAGCTGCTGGTGAGTCAGTAAAACTCTGACAATTTACATTCCCTGGGGGTCTGTCTCTAAGCCCCTAATTCTCTCCTGTTACACCAAGCCTACACTTGGTTAACTCTGTAGAGTCACACAGCTGTAAAGCTGGTAACAACACAGCAGAGGATCAGACCTAAATTATTATCTGCCATAAGATAACAGAGTTTTAAGTGTACAAGAAAATAGAGGGGAAATAAGACAAAGGATTCGGGGCCAAATCCTCAGGAAATGTAAACTGGCATGGTTCCATGGAGAGACATCAGTTCACACTAGCTGAGGATCTGGCCCATGCTCTCAAGCTCTGGCATTGAAGGGCTGGGAAACACAGCTCCAGGGCATTGAGGCATAGCACTGGCAGACTCCCCAGACCAGAGTCTGGCAACCTGCACTTGACCTGTGACCACATCGTAAAATGCCGGAGCTTTGACCCATGTCATGGTGGGACTCTGGCTCTGACCCACCTGCCCTAGCAAGGTCTGCAAGCGGGGTACAGAGCAGTTCCCCAAGCCAGACTGATTTCTGGATGGATGGAAGCAGAGTTTCGGCTGAAGCCTGCGTCAGAGCCCAGGCTTACTGTGCTGTGCAGCCAGACCCAAAGAACCCACCTCAGAAAATTCGACATGAGTAATCTGGCACACACTGGTCAGTCAAGGGTTCCTGAAAGGTTACGTTACAATGAAAGGTCCAGCAGAGATTCCAGGCATGGAATCCTAATGCTGCAGCGGTCATGTGCATTACAGGCGATGCCAGCTTGTCTCCTGGTGAGCCTCAGACAGGACACACGTTAAATTTGTGAACGCATTAAATCGTTCACTTACAAGGGGGTAAATGTGGAGTACTGCCGCCTACTTCAGGAGCGTGACTCCAGAATTATGCCACAACTGAGAGCAGCCTTAACTGCTCCTCTTATAACAGGGGCCTTCAGGATTTCTGTTCCCAGCATGCAACGTTCCATCTTCATCCACGTTCTGTTGAGAGGAACCTGGGGCACTGCCTGCTGGGAATGGTCGTCTCTGTAGGCTGCAACTCCAAAATGAAGCATTATGCCAATAACCTGCCTCCTTCAGGCTTCTACCAAGTTGCCAATGTCCTGCTGGGCCAACTTCGAGCCTGCCCTTAAAGCTATTTGCAGAATGGCTCGTTCTCCATTGACTCACCCCCCCCCCCAATCCCATGCAGCATCTGAACCAGGGGGACCTTTCTCTTGCGAGCCCTGTCATGCATCTAAAGGAACGATTTGATTTCAAAAGAC